TGACTGCTGGACCCGAAGGGAGCTGCCGGGCAGTGATGGGTTTGTGTTAGGCTTGGGGAAGAGTCAGAGGCTCAGGTGTCAGCTATGCTGGTTACAGTGGCTGTGAGGCAGCCCAGGCAAGCGAGACTTGGGAAGGACACAGTCCACTGTGGCCTGGAGAAGAGGGAGACGGATGCCTGGCTTGAGCTTGCCAGGGGTGGGGGCTCCAGGCTGGGCTGTGGTCTCTTTCCTGGCCCTAAAGTTGAGAAAGACTTCGGGCTTATCTCATAGTCTTGTCCTGAACTGGACTGTTGGACGAGTACTTTCCAGTGTTACAGGAGTGATGGTCTCTGAGTGTCAGGAAAGCCACGTGGAGCCCTGACTTTCCAGGTGTAGTCATGTTTGGGCTGAGTGGGTGCCGACCTGCAGAGCTGGGGGTCATTTGATAGAGTCCTTGCCTATAATACAGTCCTAGCTTCCGGCACCAACTTGGAATGGGAGTGCACACCTGTAACCCCAATACTCAAAAGAGAGTGGAGGCAGGAAGAGCTAGAGTTCAAGACTATCCTAAAAATTCACTGTGAATTTGAGGCTAGCCTGGGCTACATGAGACCCTGAGCTGGTCCATTGTCTCCAGCAGTGAGGCCAGATTGCTCTGTGGCGAGGAGAAAACTAGCTTGGGGTGGGGACTGAACTTTATCCTTTCCCTATACATATGGGAAGGGACAAGAGGGCCTGACCCCCTCCCTCACCTGCCCATGGCCCCAGATCCTGGCGTATGGCGACATGAACCACGAGTGGGTGGGGAACGACTGGCTGCCCAGCCTCGGGTTGCCCCAGTACCGAAGCTACTTCATGGAGTCGCTAGTCGACGCTCGGATGTTGGACCATCTGAACAAGAAGGAACTGCGAGGCCAGCTCAAGATGGTGGACAGCTTCCACAGGTGGGGGCTGCCTGGCCAGGGGGACAGCCCAAGGGGGGCGGAGCCACACCCCAGAGAGGCCCTGCCGATGAGAAGTTCTGTGAAATTCTCACTTGGTGCTCCTTGAACCAAGAAGGTGGTCCATAGGAAAACTGAGGTCTGATGTGGTCCTGGTGACCTGCTACTGGGGAGGCCAAAGCAGGAGGATTGCACATTTGAGGTTAGCCTGGACTACAGAGTGAGGTCAAGGCCAGCCCAGGAAGCTTAGTGAGACCCTGTCTCAAAATTAAAATGTAAAAATGGAGAGAGAGAGAGAGAGAGAGAGAGAGAGAGAGAGCGAGAGCGAGACAGAACTCAAGCAAGTACTAGTGCACTAGGGATGCACTTGCCTAGCATGAGTATCACACACACACACACACACACACACACACACACACACACACACACACACACGAGACAGACAGAGACAGACGGGTCGGGTAAGAACAACATTAAGAGCCATGGGAAGGATCCTGGGTGACCCAGTTTCCCCCCACTGCTCAGGGTTAGTCTGCACTATGGTATCATGTGCCTGAAACGGCTCAACTATGACCGGAAGGACCTGGAGCGGAGGAGGGAAGAGAGCCAGACCCAGATTAGAGGTGAGGTCCTGTGGGGGCAGGGGAGACGCAGGCTAGAGGGAGGGAAGCTAAAGATTCCCAGAGCTTCTGGAAACGGTGCAGTCACCATGGGGCGTGGCTAGAGAATAAAGTGAGTGTGAAGTTGCATGCCAGACTGGCTGGTCCTAGCCACTGGGGTGCGCTGTCACACACGGGGTAAAGCCAGTGTAAGGGCCTGGCCAAGAGGGAATGTGAACCTGCTCACCAGGACGCGCTGTTGCCACTAATGACGCGTAGAACCAGTATGGGGCGTGGCCAGGGAGGGAAATGGTAATCACAGGCCTAACTGGCCATTTCCATAGACGAGGGGTGGGGCCATCATAGAGGCGGGTGTGGGAAATGAGGGTGGAGTTAGGCTGATCTGACGGTTAAGAGTCCCTTTCATCCCCAGACGTGATGGTGTGGTCCAACGAACGGGTCATGGGTTGGGTGTCTGGGCTCGGCCTGAAGGAATTCGCTACGAATCTCACCGAGAGTGGCGTGCACGGGGCACTGCTGGCTCTGGACGAAACCTTCGACTACTCCGACCTGGCCTTGCTTCTGCAGATCCCTACACAGAATGCACAGGCGAGCCTCGGCTGGTCCGGGAACAGGCGGGGCTCCCGCTGCGCGCTCCGACCTTGGCCCCTAACCCCTTTCCCTCCTCCTTCCCCAGGCCCGGCAACTGCTGGAGAAAGAGTTCAGCAACCTCATCTCCCTGGGCACAGACCGGCGGCTGGATGAGGTGGGCGTGGCCACAGCTCGGCCGTCCCCAGTTGCTGTGACAAACCAGGGCTGAAGGGGTGGGGCTTGTGTTGCCAACCAGCTGTGGTTGAAGGCTGAGCTAACCGAGGTGCACGGTTAATGAGGAGGGGTGGGGTGGGCGCTTATGCCCTCCTCCCTCCTCCTGGGTTCCTGTCATACAACAGGACAGTGCCAAGTCCTTCAGCCGTTCCCCGTCCTGGAGGAAGATGTTCCGAGAGAAGGACCTCCGAGGAGTGACCCCCGACTCGGCTGAGATGTTACCCCCCAACTTCCGCTCAGCTGCAGCAGGAGCGCTAGGCTCCCCGGGGCTCCCACTCCGCAAACTGCAGCCTGAAGGTAAGGGACCCTCAAATGCGACAGTCCAGACCCTTTCACATCTTGGGACAACTTTCCATCTGGTCTACCCTACTAGCCTCTTTGGACAAAGCTCCAGCCACTCAGGCACTCCTTGTAACGGATTATTCTCTTATCTCCTTCCCAGGATGGGGATGAACTTGCCTTGGGCGGCTGGGACTCTTTATTTGGGTCCCAGGCTGCTGGGAAGTAGAGAAGCCCATGGTGGAGCCGGGCATATAAGTCTGTCGGAGGGTACCGGGGCTTGAGGCCAGAGCCCACAGAAACCCTGGGGGATCTGGGCTGGCCACTCAGGCCTGTCACCCAGTTACTCAGGATTAGGCAGAGAATCGCAAAATCAATACCTGCCTGGGCCGCAGAAGAGTGAATTCAAGACAGCCAGGGCTGCTTAGTGAGACTCTGCCTCAAAAAGTAAACAGGGAGCTGAAGATGTAGCCCATTGTCGGAGGAACTGCCTAGAATCCCCCAGTGAGGGGTTGGGGTGTGGGTCAGTGGTAGAGCCCCTGCCTAGAATCCCCCAGTGAGGGGCTGGGGGTGTGGCTCAGTGGTAGAGCCCCTGCCTAGAAT